CATGTGTCTGTCCGAGTCTGTGCAGCAGGAGGACGGGAGTGGGTGGGCGAAGACAGAGGAGGGGACACAGAGAGGGACCCTCCTTGCAGCCACGTAGTGCTCAGCCTGGCCTCTTCCGCTGCGGAGCACAGGCTCCGGACGCGCAGGCCCAGCGGCCATGGCTCACGGGACCAGCCGCTCCGCGGCACGTGGGATCTTCCCGGACCGGGGCACGAACCCTCGTCCCCTGCATCGGCAGGCGGATTCTTTTTTTTTTTTTTGCGGTACGCGGGCCTCCCACTGCTGTGGCCTCTCCCGTTGTGGAGCACAGGCTCCGGACGCACAGGCTCAGCGGCCATGGCTCACGGGCCCAGCCGCTCCGCGGCACGTGGGATCTTCCCGGACCGGGGCACGAACCCGCGTCCCCTGCATCGGCAGGCGGACTCTCAACCACTGCGCCACCAGGGAAGCCCACTAATTACCTCCTTGGGTTGCCCTTTGCTACATGTCTTGGGCTCAGAAATGAGGCTGCGGACACCAGGGGGCTCAGGTCTGGAGGGTGGGGTTGAGCCCAGGAGCACAGCCCAGGACAGCTGAGACCCAAGGCGGGCTGTGGAGAGCTCGGCTGCGCTCTGACCCCTGCGAGGGAGGAATGTGGGCGGCCATGAGCTTGGGCAGCCCCTGAGCCCCTCTGCAGCTTCTCCAGGCCTGCGCTGGGCCCGCTGGTCTGACCTCTACGTCAGCAGGAGAAAAGGGGGTGAGGGGTTTGGGAGAGCCGGGCGTGGGTATGTCAGACCCTCTGCTCCCTGGCTGGCAGTGGGAGCTGGGGGGCGCTCCCAGTGGGGAAGGCAGGGCCCAGAGGCCTGGCAGACCTGCCCTTCTTCAGAGGGAAGCCTCCCACGCCTTCGGTTTTGCCAGTGAATGGCCTTGAGGATCTGTTCCTGGTGGCCTCCAAGCTCTTCCTGAGGCTCCCCCAAAGCCACACCGATGCCGACGCTGTTTTAGATCCTCCTAAAGCATCACTCAGCTCAGCTCAAAGCTGGAAACACCAGGGTCTTTATAAACAATTATTGGTACAGCATGGCTCGGCGGCCAAGTCTGTGACGGCCCCTGATGAGGTCATTCTCCTGAGTTGTAGGTGTAACTGAAACCCACCAGGAGCTTCCCCACTGCCTTGGAAGGGGGGCCAGGGGATACCTGCATCCCAGAGCAAACCTAAAGCCTCATAGGAGACCGTAGCACTGAGTGATGGAGAATAGGGAAGCTGGCCTCCTCTGGAGACTGGCGTCCTGGCCACCCAGACGACCTCCAGGGAGGAGGCTCATATGCCAAGGAGTCTGTGAAGGGCAGTGGAGTAGCTGAAGGACCGACCAGGACTGCAGCCAGGGCCTGGGCCCCTGGGCTTCCCGCATCACCCCAGGGGGTCAGGAGAACAGCGGCACCGGCTCGTTCTTCCTGGAAGATGAGTCCGTTCCCTGCTGCCAGGTACGCAGAAACCTCCTCTCCTTCCAGGTGGAGGGCCACCTGCTCAAACGGCCTTGTAGTTTCCTTTGCACCTTAGCCAGGCACGCAGATGAGAGGAATGATGGGATCAGGGTGCATCCAGGTCGTGTTGAGCCAGTCCACCCAGCAAGGCACCTGACCCCTGGCACGCGCTCCCAGACACTGGGTGAGGAGGTGCTAAGGCCCTGTGTGAGGAGGTGCTAAGGCCCTGTGTGTGGAGGTGCTAAGCCCCTGTGTGTGGATGGTTCTCGGCAGCTGCCGCCCAGGTCCTGAGAAACACAGGAAAGGAATTTGTCCTTTTGGGAAAGTCCACTTGTCTCTCTCCACGTTAGGTCTCATCTATAGCTCTTAGCTTCTCCATAAAGAGGATACTGTCCCAACCAGCCACAGAGTAAAAGAGGCTCTGTATTTAGAAGCGTGACAAATGCATCAGGAACCAATCAGACCAGAACAGGAAAACCCTGTCTACAGATTCCAACTTTAATAGTAAGGCTGTGGAGTTACACAAACCTGTGTTAAAACATGTAATTCTCATGGGTTTCACCTCCCCTTGTGGATCAATTTGGAAAAACCAAAATATATAATTTTAAAAAACTGAAACTCATTCTGATAATCCCAGCGATGTGTAAATGAGAGAGAAGAATAGACAGGCTTCCAAACCCTGGTTAGAAAGCTGCTTAATTATGTGAGCATCTTATAATGAAGTCTCTTACAGCTAAAATTAGATTTTGAGTGCATGAATATGCGATAATGTTTGCATACCATGATGCATTTTTTTCCCTTAAAAGTAGCAGAAGCTACTTGGTTCTTAGGGGGTCCCAAGAGGGGAGATGGAAGTGCTGGGATTTATCTTTGTGGTTGCAAGAATTCTTGGGGCTGAAGTTTGATTTCTGTTGGCTGGAAATTTGTTGGAGGTGTTTAAAATGTGATGCCTCCGAAGTAGTTCATTAGCGTTTAGGGAGAAATTGATTGGTCTGAACCCACGTTGATGACCACTCAGTATTTGCCGAGTTGGCCTGAACAAGGTTGTTGGTTGCATCCCCAATGTTCATTCCCCCATTTCCTTTCCCAGCAGACCCTGATGTCTTTTGGCAGGGGCGGGTTATGATCTGCTGGAGCTGTCTCTACCGTCACTTCTGGGGTGGGGTGCGTGACCTAGACTGAGCCCACACCACCCCCCATCTCTCTGGCTACACTGATGTGTTCAGGTATGGTCATATGAGCTAAGGCAATGGAACCAGATGGAATTTCAAGACTTTTTCTGGGAATGTTTTTATGCACTCTGCTGGATGTGAACAAGGAAGTAGGTAATCCTGGGTCTTGATGGCACCTGTCTTGCGATCCTGGGGCAGGAACCACTCCCAGCATGAAGCTGATAACTGAAGGGAGAGTCAGGAGGGAAGGAAACCAGGTCCTTGGTGACACTGTTAAGTACAGGATCTAGCTTTGCCTGTGATTGGCCCTGCCCGTGGATGGTTTTGTTACATGAGCCAATATAGTCCCTTTATTGTTTAAGTTGGGTTGAGTCTGGTTTCTGTTACTTACAACCCAGAGCTGTGTACAAAGGGCTTGGGTTGAGAGGCCCTGGGGTTCTGACATTCTCTGTCTCTATGGCTGAAGTAGATAAAGACGGAGGCTCAGACAAGAATGAGCTGTCAGATTAGGAAGTTGCTTTTTACAGGAATGGGGGGTGGGTGTGAAATCCTCAGTAGGAAGCTGTGCTCTGTCAGCCAGGACAAGTAGCATCTTTAAGTCAGTACATTATGGGGTCACCTGCATATCCGGAGAAAATCATTCCTCTTGATTGCCCAGCCCACACTAGAAGTTGTCTCCTTTAATCCTTAACCAATGCTATGTGATTATCTCCACTTGACAGATGAGAGGACTGGGATAGTAATCTGTGATGATTATAAAACCGTGGTCCTGTTCTATTTACCATAACTCCTTTCATGGAGAATATGATGTCGTGTTGGAAGGAATGCTTTGACAAGTTACTTGGATTGAGCGTGAGACCCCCTCTGAGGGACATGTTCAGGTAACAGCTGATGGGCAGTAAACTGGAGGCAGTAAACTGGAGGAGGGTAGGTATGCGTAGCCCTGCCGCTTCGGTTTTGCTGAGTTGGACACGCAAGCTTGGGGCAAAGCAGAATCGTTGCCATTGGTGGAGAGGTGGGATGATGCCACTGAGAGGTCCCCTCCTCTGTTTTCACCTCTTTAACCCTACTGTGTGCTAAAAATTGGAGGGACAAAGGGAGTTATATGTGGCCCTTATCTTCAAACTCTCCGTGGAAAGTCTGACCACAATACAGTGTGCAGGACAGAGGTCCAGACAATATGTAGAGGGAGTCCAGAGTCCCAGGAGATCGACGTGAGTATATTTGTCCCCAGTACTCCCTTTTGAGACTGATGATCGATTTGGGGCCCTCCTGAGAACGTCTACTATGCAGAAGCATTGCAGAAATCTGGGTCCCTGCCATGGGAAGTACGAGCATATCTACCCAGATAACAAACATAATTGCTTATATAAAATGAGGAATCTTGATAACAAAAATGAAAACAATTCCAGTTTGGGGTTTTTAAAAAAAAAAAACATATGAAAACAATTCCAGTTGATGCTGGATGCGTAAGCATGAGCTGAATGAATGAACTTTCCAAGGCGTCTTCGGTACCTGCGATATTCTTTTCAGGTTGAGACAGATCCATGGCTTGATGATGTAGCTGGTGATGATCAATTACAGTAAACAGTGTTCTTACAGGTCAGAAAGTGTCACAGATGTCACCCCACATGTGCCTCAGTGAGGTGGACATTATTTCCGTTTGCGGGGGAGAAAAATTTAGTTTCTGAGACTGAGTTGCCCAAAGTTCAAATCCTTTATTTTACAGATAAGAAAAATGAGACTGGGAATGGGAACGGGTTTCCTACGAGGTTCGGCTGTGAGAATGGGTGGGGGAACTAGGGCTGGAATGTGGGCTCCCTCCCCAAAACCACCTGACTGCCCCCGTACTGCATCCCCATCACTCTTCAACAAGTTGCTGAAAATGAGGCAGGTGTGCACGTTCAGCTCATTTGGAAGCGACTCCATTCGTTTCACTGCCAATTCTTTGCCAAGATACTTTTTGGTGGGCACCTGAGTTCAATGTTAAGGGCCATTTATCAAGCATCCCCAGTACTTGAAAATCTGCTCAGAGCAGCACTTTTCAGAGGACTGGGGTTAAAGAGAGGCACCGTAATTGGCACAAGATAGGAGCCCAGAGTTTTCGTGCTAAGTTACCAGCACCCGAGGCAACAGAAAGGCCCTGCTCCTCCAAGATATTAATAGACAGGCATCTTTGGTGGACTGGAGCCCAGCAGTCTGTGTGTTTATGTATATGTGTTTGTGCAGGTGTGCGCTCCAGTTGCTGACAAACAGCTACCCCTTTGAATCACATGCCAGCCATCCTGACCGTATACAAGTGACAAGAGCCTGGATACCTGAGAAGCCAGTCTTCGTCAGGTCTCCTCCAGAATGGAAAAGAGGAAAAATGAAATCCTCTTAACATCAAATAATTTTTGTTTATTCCTTCCATTCTTCTCTTTTTTTAATTTGATAATCAATTCACCAACATTTTTTCGTTCACTTGAAAGGCTATATTTATGTATTTTTTCACTGGCTTTTAAACCAGTGAAGACAGGAACAGTATCTATCTTTGTAACCTCAGCCCTTAGCCCATGACCTGATATGTGAGAGGCACAGGAAACATTAGTGGAAGGAAGGAGGATGCATGAAAATCTTAAATCGCCTGGCTTGTAAAGTTTCCAGGAAAGTAACATCTTCCTGGAAAATAATACCTTTTTCTTCCTATTTGTGAGCTGAGGAGATGTTGCTGAGACACTTGGTGAATTTTTCCATCCCCTGTTTTTTGAGACGCCTGGGGACTGGGTTGATCTATAAGCATTCAGTGCCAGAGGTAAAAAAGTGAAGAAATATGGCAGCCCCCAAATTCCACTGGAGAGTTGTTTTGAACTGTTGCATAAGTTATCAGTCACCCATCTGCTCCTGACTCATAGAGAAGAACAGGAGACAAATTGGCAGGATTCTTGTCAAAATCTCTTCCCTGGATGTTCAGGTAAATGGTCTAATGGTGTCATCCCCACCTTTGCTCCCCATGGGAGCCTCCACTGCCGATGGACGCCATTCTTGTTTGCCTTGGGACAGGTAGCTTCTCTACCTCCTCCAGATCTGCAGCTCATTCCTTAAAGTTAATCATTAAACCTCTAGCAAAACTTTTTTCTTCTAAATAAAAACCTCCTTTCTATAGGAAGCTCCAAGGTGTAGCACACAGAACACCCCCTTCACCCTTCCTTTTTCTCCCGAGAGCAACAGAAGAGGAAGAGTGTGTTTGGATGGGTGGCAAGAGAGGGAAGGATGGAGGGGATATCCTCCCTGGACCGACTCCCATGTCCTGGCTCAGGCAGGAAATGAGGAAGGTTTCTCTCCCTGCCCCACTTCCCAAGTTAGGTGAGGTAGAGCCTTTCTCTCTATGAGATGGCGCAAGGGTGAGAAATGCAGAGACAGAGCAAGGAGAGTCTGCCTCCTAGGCAGCCTGGAGCTCCTTGACCCAGCAGCCTTACAGAGTCTAAAGCTCACTGTATCCATTATCCATCAGCATGTGACAAATTACCACCAAATTTAGGCATAGCTTAGAGCCACAACTTTAGAGAAACATTCATTAACTAAGAGTTCCTCTGGGTCAGGAATCCAGGCCCTGCTTAACGGAGCTCTGCCACTCAAGGACTCTCATGAGGCTGCAACCAAGAAGTTGGCTGGGCTGCAGTCTCTTCTGAGGGTTCAGCTGGGACAGGACTCAGTTCCAAGCTCCTTCATGTCGTCATTGGCAGAATTCAGTTTCCCACGGGCCGTTGGACCGAGGACCTCCGTTTCTCACTGGCTGTCGGCCAGAGGCCACACTTGGCTCCTTGCCATGTGAGCTTCTCCGTAAGGCTTGATTCATCAGAGTAAGAATGTGAGAAGACCTAAAGAGAGTGTGAACAAGAGAGAAGCCACAGTTTTTTGTAACCTAATCTTGGAAATCACATCCCATCACTTTGACTGTATTGTATGTGTTAGAAGCAAGTCAGAAGGTTCAGCCTACATCCAGGGGAGGGGAGTATATAGGGGCATGAATACCAAAAGGTGAGATCATTTGGGAGCCGTTTCGTAGCTGCCCGCCAACTCCAGCGGAGGACCTTCGACCGTTGAGTCAGTCCCTTCACAGTCTGCCCCGCGGCTGCTTCCGCTGGGTGTCTCCGCGGCACAGAGCCACACCACAGCCCTCAGCACCCTCCGTAATGCTTCCCTAGACCCACAGGCTGGCGGGGCTCCTGCCTACATCACTGTTAACGGCGAGGGCTCGTTTCCTGCCGTCTCCTCCCTTATAATCACAGGCATCACTTCTTGATACCCAGGAGAACTGTCCTGGTCCCCACATTCAGCCTGGCAGGGAAACAACAAGTCAGGAAAACTCTGGCCAGACATCCTAACGGGATGGCCCACTCCTTGGGCTCACCCGTGAAACCAGCTCTTAGCATAATCCATTACTGCCTGTTCCGCCCAGGCTTCCCCTGTTCCACGGCCACATTAATCTCCATCAGATAATTAAGGGCTTGGCTTTCCATGAGAGGCCTTAAATGTCACCTTTCTGCCACCCAATGCGTCTTTGAATGACACAGACGCTAATGAGATGTTCAAATATAGAAGGCTGAATGACTCCTTGCCTTCATTGTGACATTTATTCAGCCGGAGTGATCTGACTACCCCACTACATTACTTATAATCTTCCCCTGACCTTGGGTGGTGGAGTGTAATCTTTAAGGAAACTACCCATTTATTCTCCCTCACCTTATTAGCATTTAATCACTAGGACACATTTTCAGATGTACCAAGCATGTTAGTATTATAATTCAATTTTCCCTTCCAACGGCCCAGTAGCCAAGGACAGTGGGACCATCTCGGGCACCACTGAGTTCTGACTGAGGAAGCATCCTGGACCTGACTTCGTCTCCTGCCCCTCAGAGCACCAAGCAGGGCTTATCCAACCATGGCTGCCCCGTCCAAGGACCCTCTGCCCAGACCTCTCTCTGTCTTTCTCATCACTGGGCTGAGGCTGTTTTGCTGCTCAGGGTCAGGCCAAGTCATGGGGCCAGGAAGAGGGTGCCGGATGCAAAGGATGCCAGCAAACCCTCAGATCTGACAGCTGCACTGGGCAGTGGATTCCGAAAGTGAAACGTTTTATGCAGATTTTTGATTGCAGAAGAACAACAGATGGAAATAAGCCAGAGATGCGCTCAGCTATTCTCACTCCTTCAAACACCCACATGCTGTTTCTGTGAATTACTCTGCCATTTCCCCACAGGAATGCCCTGTCTGATACCTCTTGCGTGTCCTAACCCCATAGGTCACTGAGCTAGTCCTCGGATGTGGAGAATAAGACAACTCTGAGGAGAGGAAAGCTCACCAGACCTGGGATCCGCAGAATTTGGGCTCCAGAACTGTCTGGGCCACTAATCACCCATGCATCTGTGGAAGATTCCGTCCCCTTCTCTATCACTCAAACATGGCGGTGGAGGTGACATCTGGGTTTAACCTCACGACCTTGTCTTCCCAGCCACAGTTCACTGGGACTCTCTAACCTGAGCTGGGGTGATCCTATTCTCTCTTTTGGTCACTTGGACTTGGGCCTGAGAGACACCAGCCTGTCTGCCAGGTGTGTGAAATGAAACCACGGGAGCGTGGGGTCCATGGAGCATGGGCACCAGTATGCACGAGGTCTCTGCAGAGGGAACAATGGGTGATGTCATTGTCCTGGGAGAAGGAGAACCTAGGAGTAAATACCCCAGAGGGAGACGAGACAGTAGCTGTTAATATTAAGGTTAAATGAAAACCAAAACACAAGACAAAAGTTATGCACCTAATCCAATCACTACCCTCATTTGTCCATATAGTTTTCTAGTCCCTTGTCATATGCTAGTTTAATTTTTTACCTATGTGAGCTATTGTAGACTTTTACTTTCCTCTTTATTTAGCATTATATTACGAACATTTTCCCATTTTGCTATAGTCTTTTTTATATCTTCCCCCCCCCCCCCCCCGCCAATTTCCTTTCTTTTCAAACCTTCCTGTTCTGTCCCCAATATAGTCCCAATAGTGACAGCCTGGTGTAATCCATTCACACCCTTCTCTATATTCCTATGAATATGTAAAAGCATGTGTGTGTGTGTCTCTATACCTATATCCATACATCTATATCCATGAACATAGTGCATCATTTAGTGGAAGATAAAAAGGAAGAGCAATCTGCATTGCATAATCACATTTTTGCAAAATCAAACGATGGCCCCCAAAGTTCAATTTCACTCTTTTAGGAAGGTAGCATAATATTCTCTAGTAAGGATCTCCAAAACAGGGTGCATACACCCCATTGGCACAAGGAAAAACTAATCAAAGTTTTATCTCTCTTTATTTTTATCTCACCTTTTTAAAATTTCTATTTTGTATTTGTTTATCCTACACTTAAGATACTCATACATGCAAATAAATATCCATATTTGAGAGGTGCATGCTATCACTAAATGAGCAATCAAAAATACTTAGAGGGCTTCCCTGGTGGCGCAGTGGTTGAGGGTCCGCCTGCCGATGCAGGGGACACGGGTTCGTGCCCTGGTCCGGGAAGGTCCCACATGCCGCGGAGCGGCTGGGCCCGTGGGCCGTGGCCACTGGGCCTGCGCGTCCGGAGCCTGTGCTCCACAGCGGGAGAGGCCACAACAGTGAGAGGCCCGCATACCGCAAACAAAAACAAAAACAAAGACAAAAACAAACAAACAAAAATACTTAGAGACCACCAGTCTACAGAATCAGAGAACAATTTATTCACACATTGCCCTTTTGATGGATATCCAGGCAATTTCTAGTTAGGGCCACTACAAACTATGCTGAAAAAAGCATCACTCTACATATGCATTTCTATACGAGTGCTTTTAGATCTATAGGACAGATTCCCAAAAGTTAAATTGCTGATTCAAAGGGTGTGTGTACTTATAATTTTAATCAATACTGGTGGCCTGCTCTCAAAAAAGTCTGTAACAATTCATATTCCCATCAGCAATGTATAAAATGCTTATTCCCCTGCGTCTTCATGGACTTTGGGAATTATCAGTCTTTCTCACGTTTGCCAGTCCAGTGGATGGGTTGAGAAATGGCGTCCAATCTTTAACGGCCCATTACGTATAGGTGAGGGCATTGGACGAGATGACCTCGAAGCTCCTTCCAGCTCAAGTGTCCATGCTTCTCTAATTATCTGTTTTCAGAGCTTACCTGCTCCAGGTGTGTCTCTAGTCCCCACTGCCTAGCCGTTTGTGAATCCCAGAGACACCTATGGAACAGTTGCTAGAAACCAATGAATCCAGGACTAGAAAGAAAGCTAGCTGAATGCCGTCCAGAGGGTCATCTTGACAATACTGTTCAGCTTGTAAAAACCAACTAGGCTAAATCCCTGCAATTTCATCCAGAACAAATACTAAAAAGCAGTGTGTACTATTTCTAGGATGAGCATATTCATAGTAAATAGTTTAAGATCAATGGCTGCACAAAATGGTTTTCCTTGGAGTTTCATTTTTCAAATGGCTTTGTATTAAAAGTGAAATTTCAATAAATATTCATGGGGAAATTCATTGATGTGTTTTACCATTTACAGCTAAAATGTGTAAGGTTCTGGGGGAAAAAAAAGATGTATGATGTGTATTTTACCCTCTTAAGAGAAAAGTGGTGAAAAAATGCATGATATGCTTTTGTCTTCTCTGACCATAAACCCTCCAAGGCAGACAGCTGTGCTTTCCCACTCATGCTACTCTCCAGCCAGTCCTGGGGCAGTTTGCAGCCTGGGCAGAGAGGAACTGCAAGAAGACCTGACAGAGGAAGGGGTGGTGGAAAGTGGGGAAGGCCTGTGTGCTGAGTCTTTTCAAAGTTCCCCAAAGCCCCTTTTAACATCTACCATTTGATGAGCACTTACTGCATACCTGGCGTGTGCTTAAAACTTCCCGTACATTCTCCCACTGAGTCCTTACCACGACCTTGTGAAATGGTCACCATGATTCCCATTTTACAGATGAGGAAACTGAGCCTTGGCAAAGTTAAGCAATTTGTCTCCATGGTCACACAGCTAGTTAAGTGGCAGAATGAGGATTCAGACTCAGGTCCATCTGGCTCTAATGTGCTTTGCCCCTCGGTGTCCCATCTATAACTTCCCCAGATTGCCAGGAGCCCACTGGGGCTGCAGGGATTGGAGGAAGCTAGGCGTCGTGCTAAATGCCTTCCTGTTTACCTCCCCTGCCTCACGGTGCCTGGTAGGCGTCATTTGGCTGCCGGCTCTGAACACGAGGCATCCCACAGCCTCCGTGACATCATTCTTCTTGGCCCCCTTGCCTGTGGCAGGAAGCTAACTCACACAGGCAAAGTGCTGAAAATCTGGCTGCTTATTCCTGCCAGTTTTCTCAGAGTCTCAGGTGAACCTATTTATTTTTATAACGGCAAGTTGTACCCTTGGCCAAGATCAGATCCCATTGTTCCTTTGCTTAAGATGCTGGAATCACTTCCCATGGCCAATAGAATAAAACCCAAATGCCCCCAGCCCCTGCCTTGGCTTGGCATTCAAAGCTTTCTGTAACCTGGCCACATGACCATCCTCTTCCTCGTCCTAGGATGCTCACCTACCCTAGATGGTTAGCTGTCCTTTGCCCATGTTCGTGGTCTTCCATTTGCCTGGAATGTCATTCGTTCACCTCTCTGACTGTTAGCATCTTAAATACTCTTCAAGGCCCACTTGAACGGACTTGCGTCCTCCGAGTGGCCTTCTCTGTGTCCCTAGGCAGAGTTCACAGGTCTCTCCTCTGCAGTCCCCACAGTCCCCTTCAATCATTCTGCCACTGACCCTCACTGGCACTTTTCATATCGGCCTTTGCAGCTGGGCTGTGAGTTTTTG